CTGCAGCAGGTGGCTCCAATCCGGGTTATTGCGGTAACACCACTGAGTAGGTTCTGACTCATAGCGACACCATAGGACAGAGTAGAACTGCCCCATAGGGTTTCCAAGCAGCAGCTGGTGGATTTGAATTGCGAACATTTTGGTTAACCAATATCATTAGAAGACAAAAATTACAAATCCTCAAGATGAGTGTGCCTGTCCTGAAGTCTGACTCTCAGCTGAGTTGGCAACATCTTTCTGCTTATTACACCTACATTCATACACACAATTTAAAAAAAAAAAAAAAAAAGTTTTCTGCAACATTTCCTGATTTTAAGCCTTTTAGGCCTCCTCTGCATTCTTCTCAGAACGTTAAGGTGGGAGAGCACAAGCTTTCTACTCCCTTTACGGTTTCTTTTCCCTAGACTTGTTTTGTTATCCAGATCAAGGAGCTCTTCAGGGAGCATACGACAGTATCATAGTACTATCATTTACTCAGGACCAGCACAAATAAATATTAGCTTCACTTTGCACAAAAACATTGCAAGGTCGATATTTCTATCCTCATTTACAAATCCGATTACAGCACAGCTTGACCAAGGCGAGGTCATGGAAGCTCCATAGACACATCCAAATTCCCTAAGAGACCAAATTTCTGGGCTGAGGGCTGTGGGGACCATGGTCTCGGGGAACATCTAGCTCAATTGGCACAGCAGAGTTTATAAAGAAAATGTTCTACATCCTACTTTGGTGAGCAGCGTCTGTGGTCTTAGAAGCTTGTGAGTGGCCATCTAACTCCACTGGTCCCACTCCATGTGGAGCAAGGGAGAATGAAGAAAACCAAAAACACAAGGGAAAGATTAGTCCTAAGGACTAATGGACCACAACTACCACAGCCTCCACCAGACTGAGTCCAGCACAACTAGATGGTGCCTGGCTACCACCACTGACTGTTCTGCCAGGGATCACAATAGAGGGTCTCGGACAGAGTGGGAGAAAAACATAGAACAAAATTCTAGCAACAACAACAACAAAAGACCAGACTTACTGGTCTGACCGAGACTGGAGAAACTCCGAGAATATGGCCCCCAGACTCCCTTTTAACTCAGTACTAAAGTCACTCCTGAAGTTCACCCTTCAGCGGAAGATTAGACAGGCCCATAAAACAAAATGAGACTAAATGGGCATGGCAGCCCAGGGGCAAGGACGAGAAGGCAGGAGGGGACAGGAAATCTGATAACGGGGAACCCAAGGTCAAGAAGGGGAGAGTGTTGACATGTCATGGGGGTGGCAACCAATGTCACAAAGCAATGTGTGTATTAATTGTTTAATGAGACTCCAATTTGCTCTGAAAACCTTCATCTAAAATACAATAAAAAAATTAATAAAAATCTGATTACTCTAACTTAGAAATATTAAGCAAGTCAAACAAGCTTATATTGTGAATAAATGGCAGAGAGGGATTCAAACCTAAGTTTGTCTAGTTTCTAAATCCACACTTTTGTCATTTCTTCAAGCTTGAAGTAGTATTGCTATATCATCATAATCATAAAACTAATAATAATACATTATTTCTACCATAAAAAAAAAAAATTGCTGCATGTTCCAATTCATGGCGACCCTATGTGTATCAGAGTAGAACTACTCCATAGGGTTTTCAAGACTGTGACCTTTTGGAAGAAAATCACCAGGCTTTTCTCCTGAGGTGCCTCTGGTGGGTTCGAACCACCAATCTTTTGACTAGTAGTTGAATGTTTAATGTTTGTGCCACCCAGGGGCTCCCATTTCTATCACTGATGTGCATATCTTTTTTCCCTAGAAATCTCGAGGAAAAAATGTGTTCTCTTCCGTACTGGAAGCTTTATTTTCAGCACTGTCCCATAAAGCTGAAAATGGAGGCCTCTCTCTAAGACAGCGTACTTTGGCACATGAGCTAGGATCAACAAAGAAAGCAAAAACTTCTGTTCACATTTACTGCATCATGTGTATAAGACCTGATGATAACCAACAAATAGGCAAAACATATTCTGAAAGTTTTGAAAGACGTACGTTTGTACACTTCGCTTTCTACCCCATTTACTCTATCTGGTTTTGCATTTAAAAAAACCTGTCGGCATAGAGTCAATTCCGACTCATAGTGACTCTACAGGACAGAGTAGAACTGCCCCATGGGGTTTCCAAGGAGTCTCTGATGGGTTCAAACTGCTGACCTTTTGTTTAGCGGCCAAATGTTTAACTACTGCCCCACCAGGGCCCCGTTTTGCATTTATTCAACATTTATTGAAAACTGGCTCTACGTTAGACTCTGTGGACTCGGATCAGTTGAAAGTAAGCCAGTTGATCAGCTTCTTTGTTATTGCTGTCATTCACTCTAAGGGATGGATCAGGGCCCCATTTGGTCCAGGCCTAGATTCAACGCCTGAAGTGACTATGGTATCCTTTGTTCTAGGTCAAGGATCCTTGTCATTTCATGAGAAATCTAGGTTCTGTCTCACTCTGTGTGCTTGTTTTGGGGTCTCGTTATCCAGTCTCTTCACCAAGTACAGGGAGACAGACACCCAGTTCCAACTTTCCTTTCAGTTCCTAACCCTCAGACATGGTTCTGTCTCCAGTTCAAGGACACACACACACATACAAATCACAGTACAAGAGCAAATATTTAGTTACCTGCTCTATATTCTAGGTCCACATAATAATTATGAAGTTCCTTCTATTACAAGTAAACTATGACTCTGAAAGATTAAACAACATACTTGTCATAAAATAATAGGCAAAGCTGGAATTCAAACGCAGGTTTTACTGATCTTTAAGGCCATACGTTTATCACTTTCCACCCACTAACATCCTCGAGTGATAAATGATAATGGTTCATTTTATTGCTATGCAGATGACATGAGCCCAGGAAGTTTGAGAAATACAGTATTCTCCCTCAAACTGATTTACACTATGCTCTGAGCCTTACCTCACAACCAAATAAATTTTTATTGAAGTTTTTCTCTGTGTCAGGCACTGTCTTCTGTTACTTATATCCACCCTAGGAGACAGATCGTATCATTTCTGTTTGACAAAAAACAGGAAGTTGAGGATTAGTCACATTCAGAAACTGGTCAAAGCTGTGTTGTTTAACAAGTGACATAGTCTGAATTCAAACACAGGTGGGTCTTATTCTAAAGTTCACACTCTTATCGCCTGAGAATGTGAGGGAGCGGAGATAACGTTTTGAACTCCTAACCAATGTGTTTTTATCCTTTTTCCCATCCAGTCTACTTCCTTGGATCATGACACACACCTAGCTCAGGCAGTTAAGACAGTCTGAGTTTATTGATCCCCAGAGAGGGAAGTTAGAAAGACAAAGCAAAGGGAAATAAATACATCCATCCTCACTTGTGAGTTTCAAAACTGACTTTTTAAATTCAAGACAAGGAGAGCAGGTGAAGAAAAAAGGCTTTCTGAGTGATGAGAGCCAAGGTCTTTTGAGTGAAGGCTTTGACTGAAACAATAGAGAGAAAATGTGGTGGCCCACCCAGACTAGAAAAGGATTTTCTTTCTTGTGGTTAGAGGAGGAGGAAGAGCAAGGATAGACACAGAGAAGAGCACTGGCGAGGGTCTCGGAGAAGAAGCTCATGGCCCTGTCATGCCCCACTTCCACATCCTTCCCAGGCCAGGCCAAGCCGTTGAGAACTTGGGGCAGTAGGAGCCCTCTACCTCACTCCAAAGTAGTTTAAGGGTTTGCAACAGGAGGAAGCTGGTTCTTGACTTCTTATCAAGAGCCCTGGGAGTTGACAAGAGTCTGGAATTCTCCTTCTCACCATGGCACTGGAGAGTGGCTATTGTGGGTGCTAGGCAGATGGCCCCCAGCCAGACTTGTAGTCCTCTAATTCCCCTCAGGGGGTGCAGGAACTAGCCAAGTATTTTTCTGAGTGGCATGACGGGACCTTGAGGGCTGAAAAACTTGAACCAGATGAGAGATGCTGCAAGGTCCATTTGACCAGTATCCATATGGGAATGGGGGCTTCTTAGCAGATGCTAGAAGAGGCAGAGGCTGATCAATGATCAGGTGCCTCTCCTTGAAGCCATGACACTAGATAGGCCCTCTGGAATTCATATACTATCTCAGATATGTGTGTGTGCATTATGGGGAGGAACCTTAAATTAATAGAGTTTATCCTAAATTGGCAAGATTAAGTTTTCTAGTTTTCTATTGCTGGATAGAATAAGACCTTAAGATAGAAACTTCGTCAATAAAAACAGTTACATTTATTTGCACACTTTGCATGTGGATTTAAAATTTATTCCCACGACACTTTTGCAGTGTAGTTATTTTGCTCATTTCCATCTGAAGGGTCAATTAATTAGTTTTACAAATATAAACTTCTAGTGTGAAAAGAGAATCACTCTTCTAAAAATAAAGGATGAAAACAAAATAGAATTTTCAAATTTATGTACCATGTGGAAAGGTCTCATCCATCCCCATACCATTAACTATTCCTTTTCATACTGGTGACTTCAAATCCTATTGCCAGCCTCCTCCTCCCTCCACACTTCTATTTAGTACTTCCCACCTCCTGTCAACAGTCAACACACAGGAGGGAAAAGACAGCTGGACTCTTTCTAATCCCTAAACTAGTAAACCAAACCAAACCAAACTGGTTGCCATCAAGTCAATTGTGACTCACGGCCACTCAATGTGTATGAGTAGAACTGTGCTACCAAGGGTTTTCAGTGGCTGATTTTTGGGAACTAAATTCCCCAGGCCTTTCCTCTGAGGTGCCTTTGGGTAGAACCTCCAACCTTTTGGTTAGCAGCCAAGTGCGTTACCACTTGTGCCACCCAAGGACTCCTAAGAAAGGCAAGCCAGTACTCCATAGGAACTTGATGAGTTTTTAAGTGAATAAATGAATGCACAAATAATTCACTTTTTAAAGAAATCAACAAGATGATTTGTCCAAAGGCAATTTTATTTCCTTTTGAAATTTTGATGGAGTTGACATTACTTTATAAACAGAACATTCCTCTGTGGCATACTGAATGAGGACACGTCTAAAGCTTTTTGCTAATAAGCAGTGATCAGTCAGGGAAGGGAAGTTTTTGGCAATGTAAATTCTCCTCTTTGAAGACTAACATCTCTCAACAAAGGAGAATATAATGCTCTGTAGAGCAGAAATATGAATAGTGCTGAGATCCCTTTTAGGTTATTCCAAACAGAATACTGACCCTCATTCTCCAGGCCACCTGCCCTCCAGTGAGGGAGAGAATGAGGGAAACACCCCTGTCTGCATTGCTGGGGGAAAGGGCAGGCTCTTAACCAGTCAGGTGGAGGACTGACTCTAAAGTCTTATCCCTGACACTCTTCAGGAAGCTCAGCACTGCAGTTCCACCTGTGCCTCTCTCTTCTAAAGCCTGAGGTGGCCCCGGGAGATGGCTCGGCCTCCTGACCTTTGCTTTGACTGCAGCTGTGATGAGGTATTTGGTGACCACAGTGATGTGATAGCTGCGCAGCTCTGCCAGGGCCTCTGTACACTGGTTATAAGCTGTAAGAAGTTGGCAATTTCCTGAGGACAGGGTGTAGTCTCTCAGTGAAGGAGCGGACTGGATTTCTTCTGTGAAGGCCTTATGGGAAGGAGGCATGTAGTCCCTCATTCTGTGCAGAAAGTCAGCTGAAAGAAACAATTCAGAGCAACATCGGAGCTCCAAATGGAAGTATAGGAAAGTCCTGCTTGCGTATCCAGACACTAATGCAGTCAAAACTGTCGCTGCTGTCCTAACTGCCACTTTACCTTGCTGGCCTTTTACTTATAGGGTTCAAATACCCAAATGCACATTCTAGATTGTTGATAGGAGTTGGGAAAGACGAAAGGAAGCAAGCATATCTCGAATAACTGAGTTGCAACTGGATCTATCAACCAATCTATACATATATTTCATACACCTAATGTGAACAAAGCCTCTTGCTAGCCACTACAAAGAATATCCACAAATGTAAGGCATAATCAACAAGATGATCTGTTCAAAGGCAATCTTATCTCCTTTTGAAATTTCAATTGATTTTGTATTACTTTGAAAACAGATTTAGGCAAATCTGCTGCAAAAGACCTCTTTAAAGTGTTAAAAAAAAGCAAAGATGTCACCATGAGGACTAAGGTGGGCCTGACCCAAACCATGGTATTTTCAATCACTTCATATGCATGCAAAAACTGGACAATGGATAAGGAAGACCAAAGAAAAATCAATGCATTTGAATTATGGTGTTGGTGAGGGAATTGAATATGCCACAGCCTGCCAGAAGAATGAACAAATCTGTCTTGGAAGAAGTACAGCCAGAGTGCTCCTTGGAAGCGAGGATGGAGAGACTTCATCTCACTTATGTTGGACATGTTATCAAAAGGGATCAGTTCCTCGAGAGACACATCATGCTCAGTAAAGTAGAAGGTTAGTGAAAAAGAGGAAGACCCTCAACGAGATGGATTGATATAGTCGTTGCAACAATGGACTCAAACATAGCAATGATTTTGAGGATGGTGCAGGACTGGGCAGTGTTTCATTCTGTTGTGCATGGGGTCAAGAACAAGTCAGAACTGACTCGACATCCCCTAACAACAACAACAAACAGAATTGGGTACACTCACTCCTCTATGGGGTTCTGAATAAGAACCACTTAAACCGGTTAGCTAAATACTCTGGTAAATCCTGTTTCCTAAGTACTTCGATTTGGAAGGAGTGGTTAGGAAGAGGGAAGTTATAGAGTTTGTAAGGGCAAATAAGATAAAGACTAAGCAACTATTTTAGTAATGGCTTCTAGAAGTCAAGTATTTTAAAATTTATATCAATAGATACAGGAAATCCATTATGTGTGAATATTATGCATGGTAAATCAACTACTAACATTACCAAGTGCAAAGTTCCATGAAGAAACATCATATTCTGGAGAACTGCCTTTTGTGGATGAGACTGGACTCTATGAGGCCAAGTTCTTGTCATTTTTAAATTCTAATTCAATTTGAAAACTCTAGCACGAAGTGTCTTTCTGCAGCTGTCAAACATTAGGCTCAATGCTGGGAGGTAAGGAAACGAGCAATTTCAAGCTTCCAATAAGAAAGTTCTCTCTTCTGGTCTAACTTGTTGGGCTCAAAGTTGCACTATTTTCATGGGGAAGAACTTTAGTGGAGGAACTCATACACAGCACTGACTGGCTCCAGACTCATGAACATAATGCCACACCTTCAAACTCCAGAGGTCTCCCTCATTTTAGAGAGTGGAAGATACTACCTCAGGATCCAAATCAAAATCATAGTGAACAGCTGGAAGTAACGCAATGCTATAAGATTTGAAAATGAAACCACAGCTCCTGCTGGGATCTGGTATTAACTGACTTGACACAATAACATACACAAGGTATAGTCTACTGGTTGACTTGGAGAAATATAGACTTTGCGACATTTTAATTTACATTTAGTTTTATCAGCTGGTAGATATGTCTCTGCTTTGATCTCCCTATTAAAAAAGAAAAATGTCCGACTTACCACTTTCCTTGCTATGGCGAATGCCTAAGAACTCATCAAAGGCATGAAGCACTGAGCTCTGAGCTGCACTCCCTCCAGAGTATTTCAGGGGCTCTTTTGAGACTCCTTCATATATCAGCCCCAGTGGCATTGCTGGATTATCTTTCCACCTAAGCAAAAGTCAGAGAGAAGAAGGGGGTGCTAGGAATTAGCACATTTTCTGATAAGAAAATAGAGAGTGAGCAGAAACGGAAACAGGATTTTGGTGGTAATTTTATGGCAAAGGACTGGATATCTTTGTAGAATGTGTAAGTATGTATTATGTTGATGCCAGCTTCATGACTGGCCATATAACAAAGCACTACTCTTCCTCATTCAAAGGATTTTTCCAGAGAAGTAAAGGTTATATGGAAGGGAGTCCTTGGCAGTGGTCTCATGACATATTCTTTGGAGAAATTTAATGATAATGATGATATCCGTGCTGATCAACAGGAACACTATAAGGGCTCTGGAACACTCTTTTTTACTTGCTCTGCTAATTTCAACTTTGAGGACCTGGTGCCTGCAACTCCACAAGCCTCACATACATGCCCACGTGCACACACACACGCACACTCACATACACATCCTTGCCTCTCCTCAAAATATTGACAACTATAATAGCTGTCACATTAAGCCTTATATGTTCTAAATATTTGACTTTGTAGAAATGACTGTCAAATTCTTTGTGGATACTACAAAAACAAACTTGTTGCCATTGAATCGATTCTGACTCATAGCAACCCTACAGGACAGAGTAGAACTGCCCACAGGGTTTCCAAGGAACAGCTAGAAGATTCGAACTCCCAACCTTTTGGTTAGCAGTCAACCACTTCACCACTACACCACCAGGGTTCCTTGTCGATAGTAGGTATTAATAATAAGGGTGGGTAATAAGGGTGGCAACAAAGACAACACACCACAACCTGCAGGTTGACAGAGCTAAGTTTGGGCCATGTTGAAAGATTGGAATTGGGGCTCTTAGTCTTGCTCACGCTGAGTGAGCTCTTCCCTCTCTTCTGTGCTCCTCCCTCTCCTCTTTCTCCTCCACTCTCCCTTGCTCCCCTCCCCTCTCCTCTCCAGTCTCCCTTCTCTGTGATTCCCTCTCTTCATTCTTTTGTCTCTGTCTCCCTCTTCCTGCTTGCATCTACTTTACTCTTTTCCCTGTGTCTGACTTTTTATAGAGTCTTGAGCCATCACGGAGCGTATGTGGGGGACTCTATAAAGTAATAATAACAATGGCAACAAGAAGAACATGCTACGTATGTCCCTACAATGCTTTATAATTTATACAGCACCTTCACCTTTATTTTGCATTTGACCTCTTGTGAGTAGATCAGGGCAGGTCTTTTTCACCCCATTTTACAGATAAAGAAATGAAGACTCAAGACAGTTAAGTCTCTAAGGTCTCTAAGAGAATGAGGAAACCACAATTTGAACCTCAAATCTGTCATTCTCTGTTTTCATTTGCTCAAGAACCCCACATGTAAATTTCTACTATTACAAAGGAAATGAATCTTCTTCCCTTATTGCTAGGAACCAGCTACTTTCTCTGTTGTACTATTTAAATAACAGGCTTACATTGATGTTTCACCTTGATAATCATTCTGAAAGTTAGTTTGCTCAAGAGAAGGAGAACCCACCACCGTGCACACCCTCTTACAAAAGCAGCAGAAAGTCAGCGGCACTTGCTATGCATGACGTTTTCAAATACTTTCCTGAGGCAGGAAATGCAACTGGGTTGTTTTCTTGGTGAGTTGTTTTGGGTTGGCTGCCTCTGCTTTTCACTGGCTAAACAGCAGAGTGGCCTTTACAGTTGGGGCAATATCACTCTGGAAAGACATGAGGACAGAAAACAGAGCCGAGGAAATGAAGGGGAAGAGCAGAGAGAAGGTTCCAATTGTTAAATCACAGCAGGCTGCATTAGGTAGCTGTCAGGAGTGACAGCTCTATTTCAGGAAGATATGGAATTTAATCTCAGCTTTGCCATTTGATAACTGTGGACCTTGAATTAGTTAATTAACCTCTCTGAGCTGCAGGGAGAATTAAATGGGCTCCAGAGAGATTTCGTGACTTGTCAAAGGTCAGGACACTGGTCCATCAAAATTGCTGAATAAATGTTATAGGCAAGAAACATTGAAGACATAACTGCTATCGGGAAGTAAATGGACCACATACACATAGACATACTTGCTCATACTTTTCTTTGTGATCTGGTTGATGATCTTATATAGTCATTTCAGTCTCTTTCAGCCATTCCTTCCCATCTTGAAGACTTCTAAATGTTGGATGCTTGAAGAGGTCAATCTTTGGCCTTCTCTAACTACTTTTATTCCCTAAATGATTGTATCTAGTCTCATGGATTTAAAAACAACTAAACTCTGACCATTCACAAGTTTACACCTTTATTATTGTTAGTTGCTGTCTAGTTAATTCTGACTCATGGTGACCCCATGTGTGCAGAGTAGAACTTCTCCATGAGGTTTTCAAGGCTGTGACCTTTTGAAAGCAGATCATCAGGACTTTCTTCCGAGGCACCTCTGGGTGGGTTCAAATTGCCAACCTCTTGGCTAGTAGTCAAGCACTCAGGGCCTCCTGTTTATACCTGGACCTTTCCCCAGTACTCCAGAGTCATGTGTCCAACTGCCTATTTGATACCTCCACAGGAACCGACGTGTTCCAGATTGACTTCCTGATATCCCCTACCCTTTGCCAAGCTTCTTTCTCCTATAGTCTTCCCCATCAGAGTAAATGGGAACCCCATTTTTCCAGAGGATTGGGCCAAAAACCTTAGGATCGTCTTTGATCTTTTTCTTTTTCATTCCACATCTAATCCAATAGCAGATCCTGGCAACTTTTCCTTCAAAATATATCCCAAATCTGACCACTTCTTAACACCACCACTCTTCCCACCCTACTTCAAGCCCGCCACTCTGGATTGTTGTAACAACTTCTTGAATACTTACCCTGCTTCCAACCTTGCTCTCAAATAATCTATTTTGCACTTAGCAGACAGAGTGATGATTTGGAACTTGAGGTAGATCATGTCATACCTCTTCTCAAAACTTGTCAACATTGTTCATCTCACTTAGAAAAGAAGCCAAGAAGCTCTACATGATCTGATCCCCTGCTAGCACTCCAGACTCATCTTATATCACTCACCCCATGCCAGCCCTGTTGGCCTGTTTGTGGCCCTCCCACCATAACAAACTTGCTCCCACTCAGGGTCACTGCATTCACTGTTTCTTTTGCTTGGAGCAGGTATCTGGGTGGCTCACTCCCTCACTCTCTTACTTGTCTGCTCAAAACTCACCTTAACGGTATGGCATTCCCGGATTACACTAAATAAATTAGAAACTTCTGCCACCACTCCTAACATTCCCTGTATTCCACTTTACATTTCCCTATATTGCTTATTGGTGTACCATGCATTGTAAAATATTTGATTTTATTATTATATTAACTTGTTCGTTTAATTCATTGTCTCCCATTATTAAGATGTAAGCTCCACAAGGACTGAGTTATTTAGTTTCACTATTCTCAACACCTAGAACTATGTCTGGCCTGTGGTAAACACTCACTAAATATCTGATGAATGAATGAATGAATGACATTCTAGAAGTCTGTATTATAATATTCATAATATGTAGACCCAAGTGTCATTTCTTGAAAGAATCTGGCCAGCTGAAAAGAACCACCAGATGTCTCCAATGGCCTAAGCAACATCTATCAATATCCAATCAGTTCCTCAACCTGAAGAGGCTATGTTGAAGCCACATAGAAGCTGCTGGAGAGAATACCAGGTTATAAGTACAACAAAACCAAAGAAGGACATCCATTTTCAAAACCTATTTTCTCCAGCTATCATAAGATTAGTGTGAGGAATGAAATCAGGTTTCTCTGAGCAGCCTATGGATTGCTCCATGCACTCTCAGGCCCAGAACACTGTTTGTAAAGGAAAAAAACGAGTTGCCTTTCATATATTGTTAGGCAAGGTTATTTTTAGCTTTTTGTGTACTATATGTCAAGCAACCCCAAGAAAAGGGGAAGTTTTAACAGAAAAAAATATGACATGACATATTTTTCTACAAGGGTCAATAACTTCCCAGAACTGATTGTAGAAATTTAATGTGAGTCAGAACTGAAGGGAATATGTTTCATCTACAGATGGACTCTCTCAACTTTCCTAAGCAAAAAAGTTTAAAAAATATATAAACAAAATTATAAACCAAACATAGGACAAGTCAAGAACACGAGAGAAAATTTAGATTATCCAAGACAACCCTATTGGGAATTCTAAACAATGCTGATGATTTTGGCAATCTATACTTATCAAGGAAACACTGGTGGCATAGTGGTTAAGTGCTACGGCTGGTAACCAAAAGGTTGGCAGTTCAAATCCACCAAGTGCTCCTTGGAAACTCCATGGGGCAGTTCTACTCTGTCCTATAGAGTTGCTATGAGTCAGAATCAATACATTTTGGATTTAGTGCTGACAACTTAGTTTAGCTACATGGGAAATATTTTTGAAGATCAGAAGCAGAGAGGAGTTATTTATTTGGATTCCAGATAAAATTTATCACTCATCTAGAACTTATTTTAATAAAACAGTCACTCTCTGGTGCCCTTCTGTTGTTGTTGCTGTTGTGAGGTACTGTTGTGTCGACTTGGACTCACAGCAACTTCATGCAATAGAATAGAACTGCCCCACAAGATGTTCTAAGCGATAGTCTTTATGGGAGCAGATTTTCTTTATGGAGCCAGAGCCACGGGGTAGGTTGGAAGCACCAACCTTTAGTAAGCAGCTGAGTGCTTAACTGTTGCATTACCAGGGCTCCTTCTAGTTCTGAGAATTTCAGAATATGTAGTAGTAAGTCCTTATCAGATACCTCTGATTTAAGAAAGAAGTAGAACTTACCTATTCCCTGGAGGCCATTGTGGGGTAGAATTCTAAAACTGCCCCCTCATCTAAGATATTCCACTCAAATCCCCAGGATGTTAATATAAATGAGCTACGATGTCTGTGAATATGATATTTTCTAAGCAAAAGGAACTTTTCAGATGTAATTAAGGTTACTAATCAGTTGACCTGAAGAGAGGAAGTTATCTTGGATTATACAGGTGATTATATCTAATCATACAGGCGGATTAAATCTAACCACACGAGACCTCTGAAAACAGACAGACAGAAGAAGTTGAAGAAATTTACTAGAAGCATTTGAAGCACCATTGCTGAGATGGAGGGAGCACATGACAAGGAGTACAGGTGAACTCTAGAAGCTGAGAGTGGCTCCTGTCCGATAGTCAGAAAGGAAATAGAGACCTCCATTCTGCAACCATAAGGAATTGGATTATGCCAACAACATGAGTGAGTTTGGAAGTGGATTCTTCCCTAGACTCTGCAGATAAGAGCCCAGCCCAGCAGACACCTTGGCTTAACCCTTTTGAGACCTTAAGCAGAGAAACCAGCTGAGTTTGCCGGGAATTCTGACCTACAGAACTGTGAGATAATAAATGTGTGTTATTTTATGCTGCTAAATTTGTGTAATTTGTTATGCAACAAGAAAAAACTAATACAGATTTAGATATCAAAATAAAGCACAAAGAGATTTTCCTGGGTTAGTACTTCCTAAATCCCAGCCTATTTCTGCAGCTGCAGTAAACTTGCTATATGGTAGCATGAACTTTTTTAAAAAAGTCTTTTTTTTTTTCCCTCTTGTCTAATCCTACCAAAGTATATCTGCATGTCTTACTTAATATTTGTTGCTAGGTACTCTATTTTATAAACAGATCTTCATCTTGAGCCTGACTATATGCAAAGAATACAGAGAACAGGAAGAGGTCTATGGCGTACGTAACCTCTTTGGGAAAGGTTTCCAAAATGAAAGGGTGGTGGTGTACATGGAAAGCCTAAATTTTGAGACACACTCACAAATTCATTTCTCCACTTTATTCTCTCTTCACCCTATAAAGCAGGTACCTATTACTCTCAAGGAACTTTCTTGCTACTTTCTCCCTACAATAAAGATTCCCACCCAGGTTGGCCTCCCCGTACAGTGTCACACACTCCAAATCTACCCAACCTACAGAAGATACTTAGTATATGTTTTTACTTCCTTCTTGCACCAGTGGAATATGTCACTAATAGATTCGGGCATTTGGCATGTCTTTTGCTATTTCCAGAACAGCTTTAGAATCTTTCTATTGATAGCACTTCAGGCATCTCCTCATTATCAAAATAGCACGCTAGATGATATCTACTTTTTGTAATTTCCACCGAACACATACACCATCTCAATATTTTACTTTTTACCATAAAAAAAAAAAAACAAGCAAACTTATTTCTCTCGGAATAGGAAAGCAATCTGATTAAAACATGTCAAGGTCCAGGATCACAACAGAGAGTCCCAGACAGAGTGGGAGAAAAATGTAGAATAAAATTCCAACTCGCAAAAAAAGACCAGACTTACTGGCCTGACAGAGACTGGGGAAACCCTGCGAGTATGGCCCCCAGACACCCTTTTAGATCAGTAATGAAGCCACTCCCGAGGTTCACCATTCAGCCAAAGATTAGACAGGCCCGTAAAACAAAACGAGACTAATGGAGTACAACAGTCCAGAGACAAGGACTAGAAGGCAGGAAGGGACAGGAAAGCTGGTAATAGGGAACTCAAGGTTGAGAAAGGACATTGTTGACACGTCGTGGGTTGCTAAACAATATCATAAAATAATACGTGTACTGTCTAATAAGAAACTATTTGTTCTGTAAACTTTCATCTAAAGTACAATTAAAAAATAAAGAAGGAAAAAAAACCCACAGGAACAGAGAAAAATCAGTATTTTCCAGGCAGCAGGTATGGGATAGGGTAAGAATACAAACGTGACCAAAAAAAAAAAAAACAAAAAAAGTCAAGGTAGGAATGTAGGAATGACTAGTGTATTTAAAAGAAGAAATGTATCTAAAAGTAGAGCTTTCTATCTGGAGGAATGTCAGGCCATGTGACAAAAGAATAGCTGCAAATATGGAAGACTGGTTTGGGGTAGCTCTTCCGGGAGTATTAGCTAATGCTTTCATGCCATTGTCTCCTCTTCCAATTCAACTACCTAGATCATAAGGGGAGAGAATGGGTATAAGCAATAAAGCTATGTGGGTGGCATCTTGGGCTTTCTTTTATTTATTTGTTTTTTGCTGTCACCAAGTTGAGGTTGTAGGAAAAGTGAATATAAACGGATCTAATATGACGGCTTAAGGACAATCATTCTGAACAAAAACATCAACTCTCGATGTCATTTGTCATGCAGACGGTATCCCACTTCTTTCATCCCAGCATGGATGCAGGTGATTACTCTGCTAGCAAGCGTTCCTTGGTGTGTTTCTTACTCTAGGAAGCTTTTGTCTGTTCTTTCTCTCATAAATTTGGAAAATGCTACAGAGGCCCCATGCAGGAAAGCAGTTGAACTATACTTACCCAGAGAGAAAGATCCGGATGACTGCATAAAATATGTCTGGATCTACATAATCTGGAGGAGCAATCAAAATGTGAACTTTACTACAGGCACAAAAAGAAATTGGTTACATATGCAGGCCCTCTGTTTTCCTGGGGCTGCCTCCTCTATCTGATCTGCGCAGAGACCTGGAATGAAAATGGCAGCAGGAGGGGCTGGAATGTTCTCTTCTGTAGTCCCCCTCACTGGTGTTTTCAGAACTTTTAAACTATTCCATATGCTGTCTTTTTCTATTCTTGGAACTTCCCTTTTCTGTACTTAACAACAACAACAACAAAAAGAGACCAAGGCCATCTTTAAAAATGTAGTATTTTAAACGGACATGATGTCTGAGAGAATGTGGGAAATGGAGAGGAGAAAAGCAGTAAGAAAACGTTCCCTCTTCCAAGGCTTTCACGAAGGAGAGAAGCTAAAGTCATCCATGCTCAAGTGAAGCTCTGTTTAGTCAACAAAGGACACAGCAGTGGAGTGTCCCTTGCCCAGGGACAGCCACACCAGGTCAGATACAGGTTCATTTAGCTGAATTCATTAATCCGTGCAGCTTTTTTTTTTTTTTTAATCTCTGCCAATTCCTGGGGATAACTGATTCTACTAGTTATTAACTTGTTTGTACTAAATTTCTTTTCATCACATTTTAAAGGTTATTCTCTCTTCTTCATATAATGAGGACCCTAAATATTCGGTGATCTGGTATATATTTGTCATAGCTATATTCCTGTCTATGTCCCTTTGCTTCTGAGTGAAAAAGAAATGTCTTTTTACTGAGGTTTATATAATGCCATCTCCATATGATCATTTCCTCTTCCCTACCATCACTACTAACCTCCGGTCCTCCACGTCTTTTTCCTGCTCCTCATTTTCTCTGAAGCCCCTTAGGCCCATGTGACTCATGTCTTCGTTCAGCACCAAAACCAAAAAAAACCAAACCCCTCGCCATCGAGTCAATTCTGACTCATAGCAATCCTATAGCAGCCCTATAGGACAGAGTAGAACTGCCCCATACAGTTTCCAAGGAGCAGCTGGTAGATTCAAATTGCCAACCTTTTGGTTAGCAGTCAAGCTTTTAACCACTGTGCCACCAGGGCTCCTCATTCAGCACCAGGGCTCCCTAATGACTCTGTATGGTCCTCCAGTCCCTCTGCTCTTCTGTGACAATGCCCCATGTGCTAGACTTTTCTCTGGGCTCTACTTCTGGGCCCTTCCCATTTGGTGGTTTATTCTTACCGAAACTGCTAAATATTCTTTATAAGTTTTTGCTGAAGCAGTAATGACTGGCAACACTTTAATAGTTTCCCAACTTAACAGATTTAAGGAGAAAAAAATTAAATGATAATTTCAAGATTTGAAAATAAAATTATAAAATTCAATGTCCATTCATGATCAAAACACACAAAAAACTTTAGCAAATTAACAGTAGGATGGAACAGCCATACGCTAATAAAGGGAATCCACAGAAATCCTATACTTAGTGGTGAAATATTAAAACATTTCCTTTAAAATGTGGAACAAAACAAGCAATAGCACTTCCATTCAACCCTGTGTTGGAGGTCCTAGCCAAAAGGAAGAAGAAAGAAAGAAAAATTATAAGTATTTTAATGAAGAAACAAAACATTATTTTCAAATGCTATCATTTCTATATAGAAAACCTAGGTAACCTACACTAATTATTAGACTTAATAAGGGTGTTTAGCAACGTGTGGGATTCAAGATTAATAATCAAATATCGATTTCTTTTCTATAAACCAGCATCAAACAGGAGGTAGTTAAATCAAAAGATACCATATACAACAGAAATAAAACTATAAAGTAAACGCAAAAAACACAGATATGTAAGCCCCTTATGTAGGAAATTACAAAATATCCTTAAAAAAATTAAAGCAGAGCTAATAAATGAAAAGGTACATTCTTGTAGACAATGCTCATGGACAAGGAAACTTACTATCAAAATCTAAAAGAGGAAATGTATCTAAGAGAAGAATTTTCCATCTGGATAAATTTTAGCCCATGTGACAAAAGAATACCTAGCAATACGAAGAAATAGTTTGGGGTAGTTCATTTCATCCAAAAACCTTAGAATAATATTTTTATGCTACTATCTACCTCTTCACCTGCCTGATCATAAGAGGAAAAGATTAAGCATAATATCAAAATCATGTAATTTTTTCTCCAAATGAATATATAGATTTAATGCAGTTGACATAATATTTCCAACAGAGATGTGTTTTTTTTTTTTTTAATGGAACTATCGACGGCATTGTACTTCAAGACAGTAAAAAGAAAAGTTTTCTTTTTGACAGTGAATGTGATACCATTCTTGTTCAATTTATCATACCCAGCTTAGTAGACCATATGATTGTCCAATTCAAAATGGCCAATACCGGTCCATTTCAGCTCACTAATGCCTAAGATATTGGTCTTCAAGTCTTCCATTTCATTTTTGACAACTTCCAATTTTCCTAGATTCATGCTTTGTACACTGAACATTCCATTTATTAATGGATATTTGCAGCTGTTTCTTCTTATTTTGAGTCATGCCACATTAGCAAATGAAGGTCCTGAAAGCTTTACTCCATGTATATCATTAAGGTCAATTCTACTCTGAGGAGGCAGCTCTTCCCCAGTTGTATCTTGAGTGACATCCAACCTGAAGGACTCATCTTCCGGCACTATATCAGACAATATTCTACTGCTATCATAAGGTTTTCACTGGGCAATTTTTTTTTTCAGAAGTAGACCACCATGTCCTCCTTCCCAGTTTGTCTTAGTCTGGAAGCTCTGCGGAAACCTCTCCACCATGGGTGATCCTCGTAGCATTGGAAATACCAGGGGCATAGCTTCCAGCATCATAGCAACACGGAAGCCACCACAGTACAACAAACTGACAGATGAGCGGTGGAAATAAAAACTAGTGCCAGGAAAAAAAAAAAAAACGTAGTGTCAAATAAAATTAAATGAAAAATAAAATAGTCTATGGTCAGATCAGGCTGGATTTTATAGAACAGGTTACATATTTTAGCCTTATCGTTAGAATTATGAACAAACCAAATTCCTATTGGTCCAATAGGAATATAATGTGATCTACACATGTAGCATCAAATTTTCTAGTAGTCAAATTTCAAAAAGTAGGAAAAAAACATAGGTGTAATTAATAGCAATAATATATTTTTTTAACCCCTGATATCCAAATATTATCACTAATGATATCTTTGTTTTTTGTAGTATGTCCATGAAATCCTGTGTATACACCTACACACTTAAAAATTTTAACTTACTAAGATGCAACTATTGGTCTCTATTGGTCTCTAATCGTCCAGAGCAAAAGAGAAAGAAGGAAACCGAAGACTCAAAGAAGAAACTAGTTTACAGGACTAATAGTCTACACAAACCATGGCCTCATCTACCCTAAGACCAGAAAAACTAGATGGTGCCCAGCTACCGCTACCAACTGTTCTGATCAGTGTCACAATAATAGTTGGATCCTGATAGAAGGGGAGAAAAATGTGGAACAGTACCTCAAATTCTTAAAAAATTCTAGACTTACTGGATTGGTTGAGACTGGAGGACTCTCTGAGACTAATGTCCTGAAATACTCTTTAAGCCTTTAACTGAAACTATCCCTTGAGATCACCTTTTAGCTAAATAACAGATTGGTTCACAAAATAAAGAATATTACCCATGAGTACTGTGCTCCTTAAAAAAAAAAAAAATCTATATGAGACCAAATGCCAACAACTACTTTAAAACAAAGATGAGAAGGCAGAGGGACAGGGAAACTAGATAAATGGAAACAGAACAACCAGGACAGAAATAATGAGAATGTTCATGCGTTGTGAAGAATGTAACCAATGTCACTGAAAAATTTGTGTGGAAATTGTTGAATGGGAGCCTAAACTTCTGTGTAAACCTTCACTGAAAATACAACAAAATACATATTTTTTAATTCTATTTTACACTTACAGCACATTTCATTTAGGTGCTAAATTTTCAACAGTTACATGAAATGTACTTTTACCAAAACAATAAAGATATATTTAGCAGAAAATTATTTTACTTACACTGATTCAGTTTTTAAATTTCAATTCATTAAAAATAACTGAAACTAAAAATTTAGTTCCTCAGTCGTACTGGCCACATTCCAAGTGTTTAATAGCCACGTGTGACCAGAGGCTACTGTACTGGGCTGTGCCAGGAATAGACATTGAAAAGCTTTAGCAGTGAAAGTGATGCAATATGATGTGCACATTTAGAAGTTTACTCCAGCTGCTGTGTAGAGAATGAATTAGAACAGGCAAAGAGCAGATAAAGCAAAGGATTTAGAAAGCTATTGCAGAAGTCCAGGCAAGAGATGATGATCGCCAGGTTTAGATTAAGTGATGGTGGTAACGGAGAGAGAAGAGATGCAAATAAAATTAATATTAAGGAAAGAGACTAGTTTGTGATAATGGAGTGCTATCTGGAGCCCTGGTGGTGCAGTGGTTAAGAGCTACGGCTGCTAACCAAAAGCTCAGCAGTTCGAATCCACCAGTAGCTCCTTGGAAACCCTATGGGGCAGTTCTGCTCTGCCCTATAGGGTTGCTATGAGTTGGAATTGACTCAGCAGCAATGGGTTTGGTTTTTCTTTTTTTGGTATCCTCCCATTGAAAACATTTTTTTAAAAAAAGCCAAATAAATTATGAAAATATCTTCATCAAGGCATCAAAAAGCAGAAACGGCAGTAAGGAACCACCAGGCAAAGATCTAAGGGAAAGCAGAGACCCAGAGAAGAAGGCAGAAAACTGGAGGGGCAAGGCTGCTTTTTCCCTGAAGGTATTTTCCAATCCAGGGACACTTGGGCTCTGGTTTTATTGGTCTGTCTGTATACCAGGAGCCAGAAATAAGGCCCTGGCGTAGCTATGTGGAGGAATTTTACATGATACCATTCTCATATTAAACTGGGAGCCCCCAAAGCCTATAACCTCAGTGTCAGTGTGAATTAGAGGTTCTCCCTCCCATGCCTGCTAGTTGTCGCCTGAACAATATGAAAATTACCTTAGTGCTGAGCAGAGCAAGATTAAAAAAAAAAAAAAAAAACTATCCCTGAGAAGTAGTGACCATTTTTGCACATTTCTGTCCCAGTTCAATTACCTGCTTGCCATATGAGACCTCAGTTGCCTGATGAGTACATGGGACTTCACTTGCTAACTTAGGGTGGTCCAGTGTCTTCCAGAACCAGGAAGATCCCGATACAAATATTTCTTTACCCTAGTCCCTGAAGATTGCCTACAAATGATTTTTCAAGGGCAATGAGCATTACGCAGTAAAAAATAAGCAAAAAAAAAAAAAAAAGAACAGTGCAACTGGCAATGAGAATCAGCAGAAAAACAAAAGAGAGAACAGAAATGAAATTTTCATATATTTTAAAGAAGCACAATGAAGCATAAGCAGAATTAACTGAACAATCCAACAGACAGAAAGAAAAAGAGGAAATCTTAAAAAAGAGTCAAAGGGAAAAGACGGATTACCTGCAAAGACTGATAGATGGACGGGTAACTTTTCAGTAGTGACAATGGGAAGCAGAAGACATTGCACAGATATCTTCAATATTTAAAGGATATGATTGCTGGCAAAAACTGTCTTCAGGAATTAGAGTGAAATAAGGCAATTTGTAGATGGGAGTGTTCACTACCAGCAGACCCTCACTAGAGTAAATCCTAAAGGAGGAATTTCAGGCAGAGGAAATGAGACAAAAGGAATGAAGAACAAAGACAGCTGATAATATCAGGTAGATTGAAGTAAACTTTAACTGTGTAAAACAATAATAATCACATCTTGTGGAATTTTAGATAGTTTTGATACATGATATACAATTGAAGTTCTTCCTTATATCTCTAAGGAATCTTCTGTAACGATTTATATTACTCTTCAGTGTTCTGAGAGTTGGTTTTGTGTATGTATGTGCGTGTATGTCCCCATATTTGGTGTTTTGACATTATAAAATTGGATTTAAGGTATGAGATGGTGGCTCAAATGATTTAGGTATATTCGGATCAGGTCCCTGGGTGGCACAAATGGTTTGTGCTCAACTACTAATCTAAAGGTTGGTGGTTCAAACCCACCCACCAGCATCACAGAAGAAAGGCCTGGCAATCTGCTTCCGTAAAGATTACAGCCAAGAAGACCCTATGCAGCAGTCCTGCTTGTAACATGTGTGGGATCACCAGGAGTCATAATTGACTTGACAATAACGAATGACTGATTATAATTACAAATTATCATGTGGAACGCATCCACCAGTGAGGACAACTTTAAAAATGTGAATCTGACTTACTATTGTCTGGAATTTAGTAGAGGACAATTCCAGCACTGATTATTTTCCAATTGAGTTTAGACATAAGTTCCCAAAGCTAAGAAAGAAAAATCCTTAGATAAAATTAAATGAATTAATCGGTAGGAAATTGTAACAAAAGTTCACACTTTGGTTTAGCCCCTATTTACTGATTAAGAAACACAATTTAAATACGTATGCCAAATTATTAGAAGGAAACATGTGGAATCCTCATGACCATTAGAAGAAAAACTTCTCAGAAGTACCAGTGGGTCAAGGAGAAAGTGGAAATTCCATTGCTTCAGAAAAAAATACAAGGCAAAAATTTCCTTAGTTTTTCAGAGAAGATCTCTCTTGACTTTTCTGGGGAGAAAATGAATTCTCAGATAACGCGAGGTATCAAAAAACATGCCAACAAACATGTCTGACAATAATCTAGATACTTGAAGACCTGAAAATATTTTAGCCTCCCAACTGACCACAAAGCTCAGAGCTGCCTGGGCTCTATGTAGACCACCATTCCAAAGAAGAGGTACACCCATCCTGCAGGTACTCAGTGTTGACACGCAGAAAGCAATGGCGAGTTGAGGTGGGTATACTTTGTATTTTTAGTATTTCTATGGAGTTCTGCCTTCAGGGGGTCAGAATGGGAAAAACAGAGTAGTCTGGTTTTATTCCGGAATCAGTAGTGAGAACTGTATAAACTGTGAAGTAAGAATCATGTGTGGGCTGGGCAAAGGCTTAGTGACTTAGGTCACAGTATGGTGGTCCTCAGAAATGCCCATTGTAGCCTTGAAATAAAGGGCATCTTCTATACCGGCTTGAGCATGCCTTCAGGCCTCCATGCCTGGAAAAGAGGTATTTATGCAGGTAAGGAGTAGAGTATATGACTCTAGATAAAGATGGGCTCAGAGAAAAGGAAATGTTTGGTTAGATGCATTCTTGGGGATGAAAGCAGGGGGAAGAAGTCCAACTGAACTTCTGTTTATCGTTCAGAGGGGAGTTAACAACTATAAACCAGAGACGATGACTAAAAATTGTGTGTGATTCCTTACACCTCACAGTTTCTAGTAAGTGTTCTTATTGTTGTAACTACGTTTGTCTGATTACTATTGCTGCATAACAAACCACTCCAAACTGAGTGGCATCAACACCCACTTTATTATGTTCTTGGATCCTGTGGGTCAGGAAATTGGACAGCAAACAGTGGGGATGGCTTGCCTCTGCTCCAGTGTCAGGGGCCTCAACTGGGAAGAACTGGACAGAGGCTAACTTGAAAGCGGAGCCTAGAATCATCTGAAAGCTCATTTCCTCCCATGCCAAGTGCCAACTGGAGCACCTACACATGGCCTCTCCATGTGGTATGGCTTTTTCACAAGATGGTGGCCTTGGGGTAGATGGGCTTCTTCCATGGTGACTCAGTATACAAGATTAAAGCTGTATCACCTTTCCTAGCTTTGCCTCAGAAGTCATGTGGTGTCAATCCACTGCATTCTATCGATCATCAGCACGTCACAAGCCCACCCACCTATGTCCCAGGGACACAGACTCCACCTCTTGATGAGAGGGGTGTCAAGGACACACTGTAGAGAAGTATGTGAGATGGAAGGTATTGTAACTATCTTTGGAAAATACAGTCTGATTAAAAAAAAACAAAATAACCATGGGGTTGATTCCAACTCATGGCAACCCCATGTGTTACAGAGTAGAACTGTCCCTTAGGGTTTTTAAGGCTGTAATCTCTGCGGAGGCAGATCACCAGGTACTTTTTCCGCGGCACCACTGCGTGAGTTTGAGTTCAGTTTGCACCACCTAGGGACCTTAGAGATCTTTGGAAAATACAGTCTGATGCATTTATCATCTCAGTGTAATGACTAGTAGTAAAACCTTTAAAATAAATTATGTCTGTGTGGGAAAATTTGCCTTTGGAGGAAATAAGGAAGGTAGCCCCAGAAAAATTGTCACATTCTGTAGTCAGGTTTAAAGGGGAAAAAACATAAAGCAAAAGAGTGGAAAACCACCTCAGACCATCAGACCTGCTGCAAACAATATTCAAGAGAGCATAAGGGGTTGGCCTGGGCTTAAGAAGTGACTCTGAACGTTTGCACCAGGAAAGCCGGTGGTAGGCAGACACAGGTGGCCATCTTATTGCATTATCTGTGTGATGCAGTGCAAAATCTCTCACAGCCTTCCAAACTACGCACTTCTGCTCGTTCATATGATCTGAAGACACCTGGGATGTTTCTCTAATGATCTTGATAACCTGAGTAATAAATTCAGGGTATCTTGGCAAAGCTAAATGCGTCTCACTAAGTTTAGGGAGCATTTGTTTGGCAGAAGACCTAATGATGTTATCAAAAACCAAAACCACACCCATTGCTGTCAAGTCCAGTCTGACTCATAGCAACCCTACAGGACAGGGTAGAACTGCCCTATTGGGTGTCCAAGGAGCTGCTGGTGGGTTGGTACTACTAACCTTTTCGTTAGCCGGGAGCTCTTAGCCACTGCGCCACCAGGGCCCCACTGATGTTATCAGAGGGGCTTGAAAAGTAAAATTCAGAGAAATGGAGAAAATGCACATATAACATGTAAAACAGGGACGTTAAATGGACATAATACGTAGCCTTGTGACTTTGGGTGGGTTTATACCAGCGTGGAGACCCACATGACAAGTACATTTATTCTTTTAACACAAGAAAATAAAGAGCAGGATCATTTAGTTTCTTTCTCCCTTCCTCCTACCCTGTTTACCGTAAACTCTATGTTTTCTAAGAAGCCCTCATTCTTTCAGTGAAACAGGATGTGGAGAAACCGACTTATCGGCTGCTTTTCCCCTATTACCTAATTGCGTTGCTCTGCCACACCCTTCCTTAAGAAAACAGCCAGCACATTTTTTAAGATTCTTCTGATAGAGGAAATCAGTCTCTCAGACACTGGAGACTGAATGTGGTCACCAGAATAAAATGCCACCTGTCCCAGTAGGTGTGGACTTCTTCACTGGCCACACCCGTAACCACTCATCCTTCACTGGCCAGAGGAAAGGACAACTGGAAGTTCAGTAGATAAGGCCTAAAGACAAGTTCGGCCGCCTCAGTCCTCAACAGAGAGAAAAGAAAAAAGGGACATTAGAGAGTTTAAAGACGAACCTCGTCATCACAATTCTGCCCTGGAAGAGGGTGCTGCTGCCAGATGAAGGGTGTACAACCCATGTTCTGGTGTACCTCCTCATCAGTTTCATGCCAGACCTCAAGATGCCAAAGAAATGTCTGGCCACCAATGAGAGGAAAAACGTAAACTATCCTAACCACCAGAAAATGCAGAGAAGGACAAAAACATGAAAATCTCTCTGCAAACTGAGAAATCATTCAGTGATAGCAAATGATTTTAAAACAAAGACAATGCATCAGCACCATCTGCTGGAGAAACGCACCATCATCACCCAGTTAGGATGTGCCCAACCTCCAGGCCTTTTCCCACCAGCAGAGACCTCAGCCTTTGGGGAGCCTTCAAGGAGAGCACAGGAAGTATTCGTTGTACCGTGCATTTGTTCCAAGGTTCTGGTGATATCCTGAATGGAGAGTCTCAGCTGCTGCAAGGCTTGGAGCAGGGAGTCCTGGCTGGGCTGTAGGATGGCTTTCACTGCCTGAACAAGTGCCTGGGGGTGAGATTCGTTCACTCAGTTCATTAGCATTCAGTTAAAGCCCACTGAGGTGGAGGGTGCTCCAAAGCTGTGGGGACCCAGTAGAGGGGAGCTGACTGCTGGGTTGTTTGTCAGAGCTCTTGGGAACACCCCGAACTAGATTCACTGTGGGGTCTAACAGCCAGAACCCACCCTCCCTGAGCACCTCTCAGATAAACCCCTAGCTAAGTTGTTCTGGATTTTTCCATTGACTGCCACATTTCCCACCTCTTGGGGCCTAAACTCTTATTTTCTCCTGTCTTCTTCTGGATTATGAGCATTTCTGCTTCTGCATCTTCAACCAGGGTTCCTTCACTCCCAAGCTCTGTCTTACAGATGGTTTTTTCAGAGTCCAGCTCAAGGGCCCCCTTCTCCATGAAGCCTTCCCTGCCTCACAGCAGTATCTCCCTTATCTGAACTACATTTAAAAGGCCAATGTTTTACTGTGTATCTTTCAGTGTACTTAACATATGGATGAGAACTAAAGTGGCCATCTAATTTCACCTTTGAGAATGAAAGAGGATGCTGTTAATAATTATGTCAGGACCGGCTGTCTACTGAGAACACAGGGGAGCCTCAAAACTTGCTTCAGCAGGGAGGATGGTGAGGAAAAGCGTAAATAGAACTTAGAACTCTTTAGGCAAGGCATGAAGTTTCTAGCTGATCACTAGTCCCTCCACTGTCTTTTGCTTGACACCTGTTCTTTCTCTTAGTTTGCAACCCTCCAGGCTAGATAATCTCAATGACGCATTCCAGCTTTAAATGCTTTCATTTTCCTTTGAACCTTTGCATAGCAATTTTCCCCACCTGGAATGTGCTTTTCCCCTCTCCATCTTCTGCCTTCTCTCCCTTCTTCTCTTCCACCTTCTCTCTCTCCCGACCTAATCCCTATACGACGCTTAGATTTTAATTCAGCTTCATTTCCCCTGGGTAGCTCTCCCTAATCCTCTAAACCTGGATTAGGTTTTAGGTGTGCCTTTGTGAAACATTGCATTTTTTTTTTTTTTAATTACCCTATACAACACTTCATCTCCCTCCACTGGATCGTGAGCTCCTGTGGGGGTCGGGACTGTGTCCCTCTTGTTCACCGTGATATCCCCACTTCCTAGAACAATGCCTGATTTTTGAATGCACAGATGGTTAATCCAAGCTCTACTGAAATTAAGAAGAGAGAGATATTGTTGCGGGCTAGAATTGAAGTCTCTTTTTTCACAGTTGAAACAAATAAAACAAGGCCTACGTGCGTCTGTATTGTGAAATCTAGTGCAGAGGGACTGGGTGGGACAGAAAGTTCCAACTGATCTCCCATTAAAAAATGAGAAAGTGTTGTGGAGTGGGATTTTACCTTAATCCCAGGCACTGCTGCTTTCTCCACCAAAACAGTCACCAGTACAAAACCACGCAGGCTTTCTCCCCCAGGAAATGAAATAATGGTATCCAGGTTCCTTGGGAAGGAAAGGATGACTTGGTTAGAGGTATGGCGTCTGTACTGTGAGTACACTTCCCATAGGTCCTCACCAAGTTGGACAACTGCAAGGTAAAATCTGTGACCAGCTTTTCCTTTTCATATGACAGCCCTGAGGATGAACACACACTTTCATCAGGGAGGGAAGAGATTAAGTCAATTGAAGTCCAAATTCATCTACTCTAAGGAATTCCAAAGTCTAGCGTGACCCTGATGATCTCAGACCAAGTTGCGTCCCACAAAGGGATGGCCAGTGAAAGCATCATGTATAGCTGACTGTTCCAGGGTCAATTCTACAGCCCATCACAATATTCTTGTCAGGAGCCACAGAGTCTTACAGCTAGAATGATCCAGGCAACAGCAAATTCCACACTTCCTTTCTACAGATGAGAAACCAAGAATCAGAGAAGCTAGGCAGTTTGCCCAAGGTCATACAGCTGGTTCATCAGGGCCAAGTCTGATATAAAGTTTCATAACTCAGGCCAGTGCTCTTTCAGTCTATGACATTTTTAATAAAACCCCGTATGACAAAGTAAGAGCTGGCAGACATCCAGAGGGACCATTTCTACATGGCCTGTACGTATCATGTGGATTCAAATATCCTAGATGCAGATCAAGTCTACAAAACCTAATAGCTTAGCTCTACAGATCACTTCTGTCTCTAATATTTTAAGTATGAGAAGAGATGAAAAACAACAAAAGCAAGAAGAAGCAAAAGTAAGTTAGGAAAGGCATTGTCCCATCAGAGTTACGTTAGCTTGGGGAATTGTATGTTCTCCCTTTCATTTCTTCATCTCCTGAGTTATAGGTTTAACCCGGAACCCCGTTATTGAGCTAATGTTTTGTAATGGGAAAGGCAGCATCGACTTAGAAGCTGACTCTGTCCTCCAGAGAAAATGGAGCCCAAAACCATCGGAACCAGACCTGCCTCACAAGATCTCCAGTTCTCCGTATTAACAGGATATGTCAAAAGGAGTCTTCTGTCGCGATAGCAACCACTGCCTGCAATTTGACCTTTCAGCAAAGTTACGGTGAGAACAAAGATCTTTCTCAGACTATGAGACTTCCAAGAGTCACAGAGAATTGGCAATCTTCTTTATTAGTATTTCACTTTATTTGCTTTATTATGCACAGATTGGAAAACACAGTAAAGAAACCGCATCCCCTAATCTCTACCGGACAGAGGCAGCCACTGTTAACATTTGGATTGATAATTTTTGGCACATTTTCTTCTAGTCTTTTTTTTTCCCATGCATTTTTATATATAGCTGATATTTATACTATAGACACAATGGGGTATACTTTCTTTTTGTTTTTTGTTTGTAAGCTTTGAAAGTTAGCATGGCTTCCAAACTGAGTAAAGGATTTCTAAGAATTTACCTGATTTCCAGAGGACTAGTCATATTTCAGTTATCCGCAGCCACAAAGAGAAAAAGAAAATAAAACAACAATTCAGTTTGCAAACCACATATGCCTCCTAGGGTCACATGTACACAGGCATGCATGCTCATGTGCCACTCATTAGTCAGTTCCAACTTATGGCGACCCCATGTGTGTCAGAGTAGAACTGCGCTCCATAGGAGTCTCAGTGCTGATCTTTCAGAAGTGGATCACCAGGCATTTCTTCAGAGATGCCTCTGGGTGGACACAAACCTCCGACCTTTCAGTTAACAGCCAAGCACGTTAACCATTTGTACCACCCAGGGAGTGAGTTAAATCTGAACTCACATATCAGCCGCAGAACACTTGGCCTGTGGCTATCTTGATAAATTACCTTATTCCTTTCTGTTTCGTTTTTAAATTTTTGTAATTACCACAAACCCACATCTTATTACCACAGCTGTAGCTCTCTCACTCGTATTTCGGGACTCGCCCTAAGATCCAGTTCCACTCCCTCACCAGGCTTTTTCCTGACATTTAAAGCCTGCATTGATGTCATTTCTCGGAAATCTCAAAGGACTCATTGTTTGTGTCATTCCTTGACATTTGCCATGTACTGCTGTCTTCTCATTTAGCCACGTTGGGTGTACTTTACTTCTATTTCTTTCATTTTTTCATTGCACTTTGTTCTGTGCTAGGTATTTTAAAAGCCTCCAAATCAATAAATACCAAGAAGGACATCTGGTGAGACCCAGGACTTTGTGTCTGTGCCTTTGGGAGTAAACGAGCCTTGGAGTCCTGGTGGCACAGTGGTTAAGCACTCAGTTGCTAACCAAAAGATTGGTGGTTTGAATCTACCAGCCACTTCATGGCGAAAGATGTGGCAGTCTGCTTCCATGAGGATTTACAGCCTTGGAAACCCTTTGGAGTGGTTCTGCTCTGTACCACAGGGCCACTATGAGTCGGAATTGACTTGACGGCAATGGGTTTTGGATTTTCGTTTTGTGCTCTCTAGCCTCCCAGTCCAGTTATTTTTTCTTTTTAAACTTCCCATTTCCTATCTTTCTCTTTGAATCAGAAATCCAGTTTATTCACTATTCAATGCTTTGACCAGAATCATTACTGCGTGTATATTTATTAATTATTTCTTAGCATCCAAATTCTGAGCCAAATTCAGCAGCTCCCCATGAGAACATTGGTGACTGATTTTTTACTAAAGCAGAGTTAGTCAAAGGTTGTAATTAATAACTATACCAAATCCATTGTCGATGAGTTGATTCTGACTCATAGTGACTGTATAGGACAGAGAAGAACTGCCCCATAGAGTTTCCAAGGGGCGCCCAGTGGATCCGCGCTGCCAACCTTTTGGTTAGCAGCTATAGCTCTGAACCACTATACCACCAGGGTTTCCATTAATAATTATAGAAAACATAAAATCCCAGGGCTCAGAAGTTCTTAAGAGAGATGAGCTGGCTCAATCTTACTGCCTCCAAGGGGTACGTATTTAGTCCTAATCTGTCTATTGAGTATTTAATTCTTTAAAGAATATTCCCTCATCTTTTCTGGCAAGCCCATGGTTACCCACAGCCCATATGCTGGGGAAGTTCTTCACATCCAACCTAAATGTTTCTTTAGCTCTTTTGGTCACAATAGTCTGAAATAAATTTGACTGTGAAAATGAAGTCCAATGGGAAATTTCACACTTTGCTTCTGCTTCTTTCTGGTTGTCTGTTGGAATTCCATTTGTTAAGACTCAAGCGCTTTCTTTTATAGACAGATGTCCCTACTCCCAGCTCAGCTGTTGAGGGAGCGGTGACAGCTAGGTGGAATACGATGTTTTATTAATCAAATTCCCAATCCAACATCCCTAGATGTTCGTTCATTCATAATCATGCATTTATTCATTCTTTCACTATATAATGATCACCCATTGCAGTGCTGCTCCTAACTTGCCTTGAATGGAGGACATATGGTAGGGAATAGTAAAAGGTTTGGCAAGAAAGAACAAGTGAAGTCTAATCATGTAGCAACTTAAAGGTCGGGTTGAGAAATTCAGACTGATAGGGCAGCAAGCTAGAAAATGTGGTCAGGGCTCATGGATTCAGGGTGGATTGAGGGAAGCTTCTGGGGCCTATGGGTTTTGAACTTGTGTTCAAGTTCACCTCCTTCTTTGGAACTATAAAGCAGACAGTAAATATGAACATTCCGAATCACAAAATAGCTGAAAAAGTCTGGTCCTTTGCTGCGGGTAGAGCAAAAGTTACAAGACTTCCCCCTACTCGTTTTCAGTCTATTTAGATCCAGAGTATTCTCTCCTGTCTTACCCTTCTGGATTTCGTTTAGTCCAGTTGGTCAACACCAAATCCGAGTGTACCAGGATAGGAGGGAGCCCCAAGTTCCGGGAGACATCAACAAAGGGAAGGGCAAGATTTCTCGGCAGAACCTTTTGGATAGAAACTCAGACAGTTAGCACATTCTAGAAAGAACACAGTGGAGGAAGTAACCTTGGCTGGCTTTTATTCCAGCAATTCTGTGGCAAAGAAGTGACCTGGGGACAAAACTTGAATTATTTGCACAGTCCACGCACACCCACCTCGCACATAGCTTTTCTGTCAACAAATCTGTGGAGACAGCATTCATGAGTACAAGCTGCAATATGTATGAAAATTATAAAAATGGAACACACACACACACAGTATAAAATAACCTCTGAAAACTGCCTAAGAAGGGAATTAGCAAAAAGTTTAAGCACAAATTATAAATTGGGGGCTGAGTTTGTGACCAGAGGGGTTAAATAAATAAATAAATGTGACGTGATGTGTGTGTGTGTGTATCCCTGGGTGGTGCAAATGGTTAAGTGTTCAGCTGCTAATTGAAAGTTTGGCAATTTGAGTCCACCCAGAGGTGCCTCAGAAGAAAGGCCTGGTGATCTACGTTCAAAAAATCAGTTGTTGAAAGCACAATTCTACTCGGACACACATGGGGTTTCCAAGAGTCGGAATTGACTCCACAGCAACTGGTTTTTGGTGATATATATATATACATATATAGATTATATGCATATATATATCATACATATAATTATTATATACATATATATTACGTACATACACATATATGTATAATACGTATCTGTGCGTTGTTGGGTGCCATCAAGCCGATTTTCAACTCACAGCAACCCCTGTGACAGAGTAGAACTGCCCCAGAGGATTTCCTAGGTTGTAATCTTTACAGAAGCAGATTGCCCAGGTCTTTCTCCCGTTGAACAGCTGGATGAATTCAGACTGCCAACCATTTAGTTAGCAGCTGAGCGCTTGACCATTGTGCAACCAGGGCTCCTTTTATATATGTATAAATATGTCAATCATTTGTTAGTCAGGAAGAACAGAGCACCCTAGAGAGGAATGAGGAAGATCTTGTGTGGAAACAGGTTCTGCTGGTCACTTGATAAGCCAAACCTAAAACCCACAGCACAAGCCGCCCTTAGACAGACCTCCTTCGACCTCTGAACTATCTGAGGAAGTCTCTGCAGAGCCTATCTGCCCACAAAGCTACTCAGACCTGTGGGGGTATATCTCTGTGGAGAAGGCTAAATTAGTCTATATCAAAAGAACATTCATATGCTCTCCATCTCCCATCTCCTTTTTCATTTCCCCTAAAGACAGAAATACCTGTTAAAGAAGCCCCGCCTCTGCCTTTGTTTTTCAGTAGATTCTTAAATAGACTTCACACGGAACTGTTTCTTAGGTAGAAAACAATTAAGAGCTCTACAGAGTTTTGAAATTCAGTCCTAAGGTAACCTTCCCCTGAGAGGCGGGAGACGGGGAGGCCAGTGGAGAAGTGAAATATTAGCTGAAAAGGCAAGGGAAGAAATACCAGAGGCTTAGGGGCAGGGAGCGGAGCCTCACAGGTAGCCTGGAATTACATCAACACACCTGAAAGCTGCCAGACTGTCTTTCCCATCATCCTTCTCTACCCTCTCCCCCAGTTTAGGATGAGGTTATGGGGAACAGATGGGGCCGAGAGAGCCTTTATGAAGCTTTGTTATGTACCTAGGTTCTAACCTCAGGCATGTGATTTTTAAAAAATGAAATGTACTGACGTACAAAGTTTGAAGCAGCTGGACACTTGCCTTTTCTCTCAGCTTCCTCTGTTTACCTGAAGATAAAATTAAAGAGATAGGCCTGACCAGACCAACAAAACAGGCATGGGCGTGGAGTTCTACAACCATGGTAACTCCCTGATTTCTGGAAAAGGTTCATTTATAAGAAGTGAAAGAAAGTAATAATTTGTACTGTGGAGAGGGAAATTCTGGGAATTCATATCCCAAGGCATGGATTAGATTGAAACTATAAGAAATGATACAAAGATTCGGAAAAGATTTAGATGAATTATAAAGAGACAGACCAATAATTTGCTAGGTAGAAAGCAATACTAGAGAAAAAAAAAAAAAAAAAGGACTAGTGCTTTAAATGCCATTGTGCTCCTTCTCTGGGGAAAGAAAGCAACACTAGTGAAATCAAAAGACCTAGGTTCCAGCCCCGACTCTTCCGCTAATTCACTATGGACCTTAGACAAGTAATTTCACGTCTGTGGTCCTCAGTTGTTGTCAAATGTGCACAGTATAGCCTTAGCACATTATGTAGGTGTGAAAATTGATAGCGATAACGATGTGTATAGGATTACATAATGCATAAAATGTAAGCTATCATTATATCATTAAGGTTTTTTTTAAAATGAGTTCTCAGAACCTTCCTTCAAATATAGCTCTTCAGGCATTCTTGGAAAAGGATGTCAGAGGAAATAGATTCAAAAGATTATAAAAGGGGGAAAGGGCTACCAATTTCGAAGAAAAGTAGCCCCCTAATTTGGGAGAAAAATAGTCCGTCATATAAAAAGGCCCTTCACTCTTTCTACAACTGACACTCAACGAATAGAGCAAGGAAGGGCCCAGTTTTCCAGGAAAACAGTGTAGTACCAAGTAGAGAGCGTATTCTAGGTGCAAGGGACCTGCCAGATGACATATCAGGTATCTAACCCTTACCTGTTCAGGCTGTGTCTCTCCTTCCTGCCAGACATATCCCATGGTAATAAAGCTCAGGACCAAGTGTGCCAGGCGTTGTTCCCGGTAACTCTTTAGGAAATGGCAGTTCAGGAGGGGCATCTGTTCAAGAGAAGTTCCAGAGATTATCAACTGAGGTGGTGGGTATGGGGATAAGGGCTCTGCAACGTGAAGGTCCATTGGGGTAAGAAAAATAGTTACATTTCAATGAAGGAACTAAGAACCTTTGTGCACACCCACTTTCCCTCAGATCCCTCAGAAGTATAGCAATTGGTCCATATGGTATTGCTTAAGAACTAGCTAAATGCCCCAATGGATACCTCAGAATGTTCCCATGGTTGTGCTGGGCACTGGTCTCCATCCCTGAAGCTATTGCTTAGTCAGAGTGTTGTAGAACAATTGTCTCCTAAGACTGAGATTATGCAACATTCACAATACTGTCTTATCAAAACACTTATGCTTACTTGGTATCATTTAACCCTAATAACAGCCCTGGGGTGTGGGGTGTGATGATCTCCAATTAATACATGAGTAAAATAAGATTCAATGGAGTTAGGAATTTGACCAAATCTCCATGGGGAGGCATCTGAGGTGGGTCAAATGGATGCTCCACCCTTGTTTGAACAAGAACAGTAACCTCAATGGTGTCACTAGGGGAGTGCAGGGGCTGTGGAGCACATCCAGTGAGACTGACAGAGGATGTGACACTGCCAGAGGGTGTGACACTGTCAGAGAGTGTGAAGCCAAAATGACTATCTATAAAAATATCCCTGTAGTTAGTTTTAACAACAAAAACATTTTTCACACTAAATAGATAATAGATAGGTGGTAACTTTAGTAAAGGGTAAGACAGTACACAATACTGGGGAAGCCAAGGCAAGGTCATGGAAGATCCAAAGACACATCCAAACTCCCTGAGGGACCGAATTACTGGGCTGAGGGCTATGCGGATCATGGTCTTGGGGAACATCTAGTTCAATTGGCATAACGTAGTTTATAAAGAAAATGTTCTACATTCTACTTTGGTGAGTAGCGCCTGGGGTCTTAAAAGTTTGTGAGCAGCCGTTTAAGATACTCCACTGGTCTCACCCCTTCTGGAGCAGGAGAGAATGAAGAAAACCGAAGACACAGGGAAAGATTAGTCCAAAGAACTAATGGACCACAACTACTACAGCCTCTACCAGACTGAGTCCAGCACAACTAGATGGTGCCTGGCTACCACCACCAACTCCTCTGATAGGGTCCCAGACAGAGCTAGAGAAAAATGTAGAACAAAATTCTAACCCACAATAAAAAAAGACCAGACTTACTAGTCAGACAGAGACTGGAGAAACCCCAAGACTATGGCCCCCAGACACCCTTTTAGCTCAGTAATGAAGTCACTCCTGAGATTCGCCCTTCAGCCAAAGATTAGACAGGCCCATAAAACAAAACGAGACTAAATGGGCACACCAGCCCAGGGGCAACGACAAGAAGGCAGGAGGGGACAGGAAAGCTTGTAATAGGGAACCCAAAGTCTAAAAGGGGAGAGTGTTGACATGTCTTGGGGTTGGCAACGGATGTCACATAACAATATGTGTACTAATTGTTTAATGAGAAGCTAGTTTGTTCTGTAAACCTTCATCTAAAGTACCGTTTAAAAAAATTAAAAAAAAAATTTTTGTAAGCTCAGCTTACATGTATCAATATACCTACAAAGCTAAAACTCTATGCTAATTTACTTTTTGAACCTTCTAATGCACTCTGGTCAGTCAGAGCTGTCATTATTACCCAATTGCAACTACGCTGTGAATCACGTGGTTTCATCTTCATGTGCTACAAACACGCACTGTTGTTTTTGATACTGCTGTTGATTTCGTCAAATTTTCTGGTGTTTTAGCTACAATATTGTGGTAATTAGTGTTTGTGAACCTATATCAATAACTTTTTTGAGAATGAAGTGATAATTAAAGGAAAAGAAGGAGTAACATAAAGGAATTATGATTTATAAGTAGTTTTACTAAAAAAAACATTACTAAGGATTCTGTATGGTCTGGTACAGGAGGAGGCCCATGACGGAGTGAAACCATGAGTTACTGCACTGGGTAACGCCAACCCTAATGATGCCACTGGGGGACCCTGGCTAAGTCTTTTCACCTCTCCGTGACTGTTCTTCTTTGTCGAAATGGGGATAACAATAGCATCATTGTGAGGTTCAGAGGTGCTACTGTCATTGAAAGCAACTCCTTGTACAAAAGGTGGTTATTAGTGAAAGATCTGCCAAAACAAATATTATCAGTTTCCCAGTACTTCCTGGGTCTGCCCTGCCTGTCTTGGTTAACACCAGCAACCTCTGATCTCCTGCTAGACCTGGCGGGGTATTTCTCCACAGGGCCTAAGGCGCCAGAAGGAATGGTGGGGAACATCTCTGGTATCAATTTAAGCTCCAGGCACCCAAGTGGTGGTACATTTGCTCTGTGACTCCCACCGCGCCCCCTCAAAGTGGAGGTAGAGGCAGTTCGCGTTTGAGCAAAAGCCTCCGGGTCGGAATTTTTCCTCTGTTATCCACTATGGGGCAGCCTCTCTGCTTCTGTCCACAGGGTGCCATACTGTTTCTTCCTCCTTTTAAAAATTCTCTTGGGATCCCACACTTAATGTGTCCTAGGCTTGTCTCTGTGGCTGTTGGTGGTGGTGGGGAAGGTAGAAGAGGTATGCTGCTGACATATTGCATTTCAACAGAAACTAACCCAATAATTTTAACAGTAGTTATTAACTGAATATTTATAGTAAGATTTTTACTACAGAATGTCCAAGTCATCATGCAAAGAACTTCCCATGCAGGATGGTATTGCATCTTCCTGAAAACTTGGAGTGCAAACCTGAGATTCAAAGATGTTAAGATGTTTGCCCAGGGTAACAGACCCAAGAGGGACTGAGCCAGGGTGTTACTTCGGGTCTACTGACCACAACCCTGCTGTCTCCTTAAGGCAATGCTGTCCAGTAGAAATATAATGCCAGCCACAAGTGTATCTTTAAATTTTCTAGTAGCTACATTAAAAAGTTTTTTTTTAAAAAGAGGTGAAGGTGAAATTTTGTTCAGTAATATATTTTATTTAATCCAGTATTTCAAAAGTATTGTCAACATGCAACCAAGATAAATAATAAGACATTTTAAGTCTCTTTTCCATACTAAATCTTTGACATCCACAATTTTAGATCTCAATTCATCCTAACCACATTTCAACAGCTCAGTAGCCAGTGGTTACTGGCTACCTGCAGATACCTACAGGCAGCCAAGGTAAAGGAATAAAGTCCAAGATGGGAAAGTACCTCTTAGGGAGAAAAGTTTTTTCGGGAACCTTCCTGAATATTCCACAGTCCCTGATTTAACAACCCAAAGGACAAAAGAAAATCTTTGCAATGGAACTCTTTTTTTTTTTTCCTTACTAAAAGATGAAATGGTTTAGAAGAGTGAGTCATCAAAATATTACTTGTAATATCTGAAATCATAATATCAAATTGGTTTCATATTGTTGTTTCATAAACCATTATAAAATGGAAAGCAAGTACTTTGCAGAAGCAGCTTGGTTTGACTTAATCTTGACATAAAGAGGTATTCCTTTTGCATCTCACGATGGTGAGCTGGTGTATCTCATGATTTTCTTAATATTGGTTATAAACTCCCTTTATGCCAATATGAAAGAAGCTGAATTGAGGATGCTCTAGTTGTAACACAGAGTAAGAGTCAGCATTTCCAAAATTTGGCCTCCATAACCCTTCTTCAGCCACCATTGCTTAGCTGAATGACTGCTTCTTTAGTCAGGTGGACTTTGCTGGCACCAATATTAGGGTATTTTAAAAGGGCCACCAATAACTTTTTCTACTGGCAAGTCAGACTCTCCGATTAGACTGTGTGCTTCTAGAGAAGAAGAATAATATCTTTAAAGGAAAGATGATATATTTATTTTTAAAAGTTATAAAGGTAATAGGAGTTTACTGTAAAAAATAACAAATACAGTTATATATAAAGGAGAAAATGGTGTCTACGAGCCTCAACATTACTTCCTAGAGGCAGTCATCATTAAAAGTTTAGTGTTTCTACTTCTATGTATAGTAAAATAAATATATATTTTAATTAATTATGGAATCACATTATTTATTCAGTTTATACTGTTATATACCTTTTTCAGTAACTATAGCAAGGGTATGTATATATATACACATATCTGTAGAGAGAGAGATACATATACATATATAGTTTATTTAATAGCTGCATGGTCATCCACTTATTTAACAGATACATTAATGGACATTTAAGGGGCTGTGTTTTCTGTAATTTTTTAATTTTGGTTAATTTTGTTATTACAAATTAATGGAGAAAAGATTGAAGTTGTTAAGGATTTCATTTTACTTGGATTCACAATCAAGGCTCATGGAATCAGCAGTCAAGAACTCAAATGACAAATTGTGTTGCGCAAATCTGCTGCAAAAGACTTCTTTAAAATGTTAAAAAGCATCCATTCATGATAAAAACTCTCAACAAAATAGGAATAGAAAAGAAATTTCTCAACATAATGAAGGGCATTTATACAAAGCCAACAGCCAACATCATCCAAATGAAGAGAGTTTGAAAGCATTCCCCTTGAGAATGGGAACCAGACAAGGATGCCCTTTATTACCACTCTTATTCAAAACTGTGCTGGAGGCCTTAGCCAGAACAATTAGGCTAGAAAAAGAAATAAAGGGCATCCAAATTGGTAGGGAAGAAGTCAAAGTATCTCTGTTTGCAGATGGTATGATTTTATACACAGAAAACTCCAAAGAATCCACAAGAAAACTACTGGAACTAACAGAAGATATTGGCAAAGTTTCAGAATACAAGATAAACATACAAAAATCAGTTGGATTCCTTTACACCAACAAAGAGAACTTCAAAGAAAAAATCACCAAATCAATACCATTTACAATAGCTCCGAAGAAGATAAAATACTTAGGAATAAATCTAACCAGAGACATAAAAGACCTATACAATGAAAACTACAAGACACTACTGCAAGAAACCAAAAAAGACTTGCATGAGTGGAAAAACATACCTTGCTCATGGATAGGAAGACTTAACATTG